CGTCAGGCGAAATAGCACGTCATCGTACATTTGAGATCAGCGGGAAGAAGATGACGACGTCCACTAATTTAGTATCTGTGCACACAAATCTGCTGTGTGTGTGACTCTGTGTGTCAGCTATGATATCATCTTCTGTGGTTCCATGCCTAGCATGTACGTCTGAACCATCCTGTAAAGTTTGAATGACGTCGGTTGAGCGATCGCTCCGCGAAATATACTTTTTGAAATTCTCTTCATAGTATATCTTCCACCATTGAAATTTCGAATTTCTTCAAAAAAAGTGCTGAGAGGGGTGGCTTGCAACCTCGATATGGCTTGTTCCAGGCATGCTTTGGAGCCATCTTCTGTTGAAGTAGTGGCGGGGATCTGCCCTGCAACTGCTACAACAAAAAATGATTCGATCTGAGAAAGGGTGAGACCGCGAATCTCGGTTGAATATTGAGTATTTCAAGCCTTTTCACGACGAAGATGGAGTTCTTTTTGGAGATGGACGGCGCGGCAAAGGACATGGTGTCCGACGTCTGGCGTCTGGTGAAGCCAGGGATTATTTGTCCAGTCAGGTCGGCAGCCTAACCGTCGGTAAGCTTGTGTTTGGATCCCGTTCTGCTCGATGTGGTAGATCACAAACAATTTGATATCGCACAAATTGATCTCAGCATCGTGCGTACGGTATTTTATATTCAGAAAATCCCAAAGTGTCTCTGTGTGGGCGTCCTATGCCACGAGAATCTCCAATTAGGCTCCTATGTCCTCTGCCTTCATGATTGAATGTCCACTTCGTTTGAACAACGAACACAACAATCGAGGACGGCTTTGCAATGAAAAATACAGCTATACTGGAGCTGAAAAAAAGAAGAAAAATATGTGCTCAGGATGAGACTCGAGTACACGCATACTCTCCCAGCAGGTGAAACGCAAATTTTTGTGAAAAATGCGTGACGCCGACTGACCAGTAATTTCGCCTGACGAAGCCATGCACTCTGTGTGTACAGCCGGGTGAATAGCATCAAGACACACAGTGTACTTATGAGAGCGCCGAGTTGTGACGTAGGTGTAGATGTATGTGTCAGTTGCCGATCCCAGAGATCTCTACAGGGGGGGATTCCAGTTTAGCCAAAACTGAATAGTACTGTAAGTCGACAAATTTTTGGCCCACTCGAATTTCGGGCTCCCAGGTCGAAAACACATTCGGCTGCATCAAATTTTCGGCCTGTACTGCTGCTGCATGTATACTGTCACACTGCACCTTGAAAAACAAAAATTTCGGCTGCAACAAATTTTCGGCCAAATATGATCAGGCCGAAAATAGCCGAAAATAAGTATGTGCCGAATATTTGTTGACTTTCAGTAGCTGATACATGTACATGCACATGCATAATTATGGTTTCCAGTAGTAAATTTGCAAAATTTGGAGGGAGGGGGGGGGGAGTCCTCGGACCCCCCGGATCCACCCCTGTGTGTAGTTGAACGTTGTGTGGAGTTGTGTGTTCTTGACCACGGCCACTTGCACTCGCGCGAGCGCGTGAAACTTCCACAGTTATTTGGGACAGTGTCTGGGATATGCCGGTAATCTCTTGCCCTCCGAACCGAATGGCATTAAGTGCATGGCATGTAAGCAGGGTGATCTCAGCGACGGGCTGTGCTCTTGCAAGTGAACTTTTGCGTGTTCTTCTTTTTGCTGTGAAACATCACCACTGCAGGCATGCATTGTGTTTCTGACTCTCATTACGATGTTGTACCCTGTATGCGCTGCTTTGCAGAGGTGCAAGCAGGAAGCGTGCCACCAAGAGATGCGCAATCATCTTCGCAGGCGCCATCGTTGCTGCCGCCGCGCACACAGACTGCACCAAGCGCTGCCAGTGCCGCTGGTGCCGCCGCCGCAGTTACCAGTTCCAGCGCGACGCGGCTAATTCACGAGCGCCTCACCGGCAGATCTACAACCGCTCTGCTCCAACATCCCACTGCCGACGGCACCAGATCATCAGCCTCGAAAGAGGCCGGGAGTGACGCCGGACAATCAGGTCAGTTCCCACGACAACACCAGCAAACTGGCACGGCGACAGACACGTCGAGATCGGCACGTGACACGATGGCAGTGCCGTCCCAGGTCGCGCCCAGCGCGGCAGCCGCTAGCAAGCTGGTTACGCCTGGCTGGATGCCAGGTGCGAGCGCGTCAGGCTCATCGGAGAGTTCTGGCATGCTGTGGTCACCTCCATTATCCCCACACACTCAACTGTCCTCTCCTACTTCGCCGGAGAATGCGCCGGCCAGCACCGGTCCACTTGCAGCAGCTTCAGTTGGCGGCAGCTCATCGAGTACGATTGCTAGCCGGTCATTGGGCAGCACTGAGCGAGCACAGGCCACGCAAGTGACCACCGGCAGCAAAGCAGCATCATCGTTGCCACAAGCCGCTAGTAGGACATCACGACGGTCCAGTCTGCTGCTGGATTCGCCCACAGTAGCCGCTACGGCAGAAGTCACAGAAGCCGCTACAGGTACAGTCGCAGACACAATGATGCAAGCGGCAATAGCCATGGATACAGTCGCAGCTAGAGAGTCATCCACATCAGAAACATGCCAAGTGGCTGTAACAGGAAGTACAGGTATGTGAAGAACCATTTCGAGCTCCTGATTACTATATCCAAACCCTACAAATCTACCCCGCATCTATCGTTCACCTCTCCCTACACCCGCACGTTTTCGTTATTTCCGCTTTTCATTTCCACATCTGGTTATCTCTAGCTGTTGACCTTATCGTACAACGAGTTCCAACGGTTGATTGACAGCTGCAAAACCAACTTGTGAAATGCTAAAAGGTGGAGAAGTGCCAGCTCCATGTTCTGGTTCAGGGCCATGTACAAACTGTCAGTTACTGATTGGATTACCAAGATTACAAAGACTACAAGGAATGGACATGTTAGAGACAGTGGTCTGAAAGTTTCATACGCACACGATAACATGCAATGCTATCCCGACATGTTCTTCAAAATAACTGCATGGTCAGCTTCACTGCAAAGGGAATTACAACCCCATTCAAGAATAGAGTCTACAACCATTGGTGTAACGTTTTGGGCACAAGCAAGCCCTGAAATGTTCCCTGCCATTCTCTAACTTGTAGTTTTAATATTACAGTAAAACCTGGTTTAACCCTTTGGAGTCCATGGTTCAATTTCGAACCATGGGTATTTTGTATGCATGTGGGCGCAGTCAAACTTTCGGTTCTCGGCCAAATCTTGACCAAATACAACAATCGAAGGATCTAGATGGTAGAGAAAACCCTCAGCTATCGCCTCGAACAGATCCGAAGTCTCTCCGATGAAGTTTGAGTGAGCGGCGAGCGATCAAACATTTCGAATTTTCTGCGCTGCGTGCTGCAAGTCAGCAGTGCGTGAAAAAAAGGGATTTTCCCAGCTTCATGACAGGCGTCACGCGCCAGGACCGGCGCGGTGCGAAGTCATGGCAAGGTAAGCTTCTACTCGAAAAAAAATTGAACAGTTCCTAGCCAGATTCAGTGAAATGGCTACAGGAGACCGATTTCGTCTCAGATCTGGAGCTGGACTTGCGTTTGGGGCGCGTTGCGGCGGACAATGAAAAGTGCTCCTGGCGAGTTTGGGCGCATTGTATTTCTCTCATCAAGAGCTTTCCAACGAGCCCAAGATCTTCAAAATCGGTGAAGTAGCACCAAAGTTATGTTGGAAATGGAGTGCGCATTTTCGTGGCTGCCACAAATTCTGCGGAAGCAAAACAGTTACGGACTCCAAAGGGTTAAACAACCACCCCACGGTGAAAGCAAAAGTGGTCGTTAAAACCAGGTGGTCTTTAGAACCAGGTCCCACAGTGTCTGTGTCGAACTGTCGGTGCATGGAAAAACAGTCGTTGAGAGCAGGTGGTCGCTAAACCCAGAGGTCGCTTACACCAGGTATTACTGTATAACTACATATGTCACGATCTTTCATACCTATCAGATTTTTGTTCTTCACTTTATCTCTTCCTGTTTATGCCAAAGCTGAGGCAGCAGCAGCAGCAGCCACAGCAACACCTACAGTCTCTGTGGCAGACACGGTGTCGCCCACAGAAACCGCTGCGGCGGACGTCACAGCAGCCGCTACAGCAACAGTCCCAGACAGAATGACGCAAACGGCAACAGCCATGGACACAGTCGCAGCTAGAGAGCCATCCACATCAGAAACATGCCAAGCGGCCGTAACAGGAAGCACAGGTATGTGGAGAACCATTTCTAGCATGTGATTACCACATCCAAATTCGCCACCTGGGCTTTACCCCTTAAAAATCCATCTCGACCTTCATTATCACTTTCTCGAGCTTTCCCCCTTTCCTCTCGACAGTCGCTTCACACCAGCAGTTGACCTGTTCTTTAAAATGGGTTCCATCTTATTTATTGCCATCTGCCAAATGAACTTGTGCAATGGTAAAAGATAGAGGAATGCAATCTCCATGTTCTAATTTAGAGGCAATCTTTACTGATTGGACTATAAAGATTACAAGCACTACAATGAAAGGACATGTTAGGGACGGTGGTCTGAAAGTTTCATCCGCACACTATGGTATGAAACGCTGTCCTGACATGTTCTTCAAAATAACTGCATGGTCAGCATAATTATATGCAAAGGGATTAACAACTTCATTTTTTAAAGAATAGAGTTTACAGCCACAGGGCTAACCTTTTGGGCACAAGCAAGCCCTGAATTGCACCCTGCCTCTCTAACCTGTAACTTTAACATTATAACTACATAATGACTGTCACAATTTGTCATACCTATCAGATTCTGTTCTTCACTTTATCTCTTCCTGTTAATGCCAAAGCTGAGGCAGTAGCAGCCACAGCAACACGTACAGTCTCTATGGCAGATACAGTGACGCCCACAGTAGCCGCTACGGCAGAAGTCACAGCAGCCGCTACGGCAACAGTCGCAGACACAATGATGCAAACGGCAACAGCCATGGATACAGTCGCAGCTAGAGAGTCATCCACGTCAGAAACATGCCAAGCGGCCGTAACAGCAAGCACAGGTATGTAAAGAACCATTTCTAGCATGTGATTCCTACATTCAAACCATCCACCTGGGATTTACCCTTTCAATGTCCATCTCGACCTTCATCCTCACTTTGTCGAGTTTTCCGCTTTTCCTCTCGACAATAGCTTTGAGCTAGACGAGTCAAATATCCATGGTCTAGTTTAGGGCCATAAACAAACTGTCAGTTAGTGTTTGGGCTGCAAAGATTACAAGCACTACAAGGAAAGGACATGTAAGAGGAGGTGGTCTAAAAGTTTCATTCACACACTATGGCATGAAACGCTATCCTGACATGTTCTTCAAAATAACTGCATCGCCAGCTTCTATGCAAAGGGAATAACAACCTGAAGATGGGCCTGGCCCGAAAATTTGGATATTTATTATTTTTGGAAGAATTTGTAGCCGAGAGACCGTTTTCGAGTACTGGTGTATAACTGTGTGAAACATGAAGTGGCTACAGTGGAGTCTGCACACCCTTAGGAATAACAACCTCATTCAAGAATAGAGTCTACAACCATTGGGTTAACCTTTTTGGCACAAGCAAGCCCTGAACTATTCCCGGCTATTCTCTAACCTGTAACTTTAACATTATAACTACATATGTCACAATCTTTCATACCTATCAAATTTTTGTTCTTCACTTTATCTCTTCCTGTTAATGCCAAAGCTGAGGAAGCAGCAGCCACAGCAACACCTACGGTCTCTGTGGTAGATACAGTAACGCCCACAGTAGCCGCTACGGCTGAAGTCACAGCAGCCACTACAGCAGCAGTCGCAGACAGAATGATGCAATTGGAAACAGCCATGGACACAGTCGCAATTAGAGAGTCATCCACATCAGAAACATGCCAAGTGGCTGTAACAGGAAGCACGGGTATGTGAAGAACCATTTCTAGCATGTGATTACCACACCCAAACCCTACAAAGCCTTTACCATTCACCTCTCCCTTCACACGCACCTTTTCATTATTTTCCACTTTTCATTTCCACATCTGGTAATCTCTAGCTGTTGACCTTATCGTAAAACGAGTTTCAACGGTAGACTGACAGCCGCAACACCAACTTGTGAAATGCTAAAAGGTAGAGAAGTGCTAGCTCCATGTTATATTTTAGGGCCATCTACATAATATTATTTTTCAGTGCCAGGCCAGATGTACGCTGTTGGCCGGGCGATTTTCATAAAAAATCTGATTTTTTCAAAATCAGTCGTATCAACTCAAACCCACTTGTTGTCCCTCGCTGGCGTAGGTTGTGCTGCTGCGCCCTGCTCAAACTCGACATCGACATCTCCGATATCCTCAGGGCCGTCCAAGGCGACCACGGCAGTAGGTTCGACATCGACCAGTCCACGGCGGACTCGTCCGCGAAATTTGTTCCGTCACGATCGCGGACGGCTATGTCCGCATCCGAGTCATCGCCTTCACTATCGCAGCTCCAGTCATCAATGTCCGAGTGCATGATGGACTAGAGCACCTCTTCAGCCGACATGCGGCGACTCGCCGTGTCTGAGTGACAGCTAGAGCTAGAGGGACCTCAAGGACGTTCGGTCAATCTAATTGTTTCTTAGGGGTCGTACGTAATTATCGAAAAATTTAAAAATCCGTCCTCGTGCGAAATTGTCTCTGACCCACCCACCCACCTCCCATTTTTTCCCCTCAATTTTTTGATTTTTACCGATGCCCAGCTCGAAAATAAGAACTCCTAAATCCTGACCCCATGTTCACTGATTGCACCCACATGTACATGTACATGTATGTCAAGTACTAGTAGCTAAGTAAAGTGAGTAGGTCTACCGACGGCCATGCACGTCCTACAACTATAAAAGAGTTATGTACCGGTATATCATACTGGTGTTTGCGATCCTACACTACGTCTACAGTGCACTACATGTCAGTACAACAAGTGTATGAAAGTCACTGACGAAAATAAATAAATAAAGTACGAAAAATCGAAAAAATTAAATTCCGCCAGCGCTCTTGACCACCCACCCCCTTTCTGCCTGAGGACGGATTTTTTAATTTTTCGAAAAATACAGACGACCCCTTAATCGAAATAATTATGTTTTTCGCCCGAGCGCTCTGAATGTATGCTCCCGCGCCCTTACTCACTCAACCACGGCGAGTGAGGTCTTATTCAGTAGGGGAAAACCCCTAGTTTCCCCTCGAAGAGCCCCAATCGGCCAAGCTAGATTGTAGTGCATGGCCGGTGAGATATAGTAGTGCGCACTACGAGGACGAGATATCTCGTCCTTGGCCAATCGCGTGGGGGTCTGTAGGACGAGTTATCTCGTCTTTGGCACTGAAAGGGTTAAACTGTCAGTTACTGATTGGATAACGAAGATTACAAGCACTACAAGGAAAGGACATGTTAGAGATGGTGGTCTGAAAGTTTCATTCGCACACGATAACGTGCAATGTTATCCTGACATGTTCTTCAAAATAACTGCATGGTCAGCTTCACTGCAAAGGGAATTACAACCTCATTCAAGAATAGAGTCTACAACCATTGGTGTAACGTTTTGGGCACAAGCAAGCCCTGAAATGTTCCCTGCCATTCTCTAACTTGTAGTTTTAACATTACAGTAAAACCTGGTTTAAACAACCACCCCACGGTGAAAGCAAAAGTGGTCGTTAAAACCAGGTGGTCTTTAGAACCAGGTCCCACAGTGTCTGTGTCGAACTGTCGATGCATGGAAAAACAGTCGTTGAGAGCAGGTGGTCGCTAAACCCAGAGGTCGCTTACACCAGGTATTACTGTATAACTACATATGTCACGATCTTTCATACCTATCAGATTTTTGTTCTTCACTTTATCTCTTCCTGTTTATGCCAAAGCTGAGGCAGCAGCAGCAGCAGCCACAGCAACACCTACAGTCTCTGTGGCAGACACGGTGTCGCCCACAGAAACCGCTGCGGCGGACGTCACAGCAGCCGCTACAGCAACAGTCCCAGACAGAATGACGCAAACGGCAACAGCCATGGACACAGTCGCAGCTAGAGAGCCATCCACATCAGAAACATGCCAAGCGGCCGTAACAGGAAGCACAGGTATGTGAAGAACCATTTCTAGCATGTGATTACCACATCCAAATTCGCCACCTGGGCTTTACCCCTTTAAAATCCATCTCGACCTTCATTATCACTTTCTCGAGCTTTCCCCCTTTCCTCTCGACAGTCGCTTCGCACCAGCAGTTGACCTGTTCTTTAAAATGGGTTCCATCTTATTTATTGCCATCTGCCAAATCAACTTGTGCAATGGTAAAAGATAGAGGAGTGCAATCTCCATGTTCTAATTTAGGGGCAATCTTTACTGATTGGACTATAAAGATTACAAGCACTACAATGAAAGGACATGTTAGAGACGGTGGTCTGAAAGTTTCATCCCCACACTATGGTATGAAACGCTGTCCTGACATGTTCTTCAAAATAACTGCATGGTCAGCATAATTATATGCAAAGGGATTAACAACTTCATTTTTTAAAGAATAGAGTTTACAGCCACAGGGCTAACCTTTTGGGCACAAGCAAGCCCTGAATTGCACCCTGCCTCTCTAACCTGTAACTTTAACATTATAACTACATAATGACTGTCACAATTTGTCATACCTATCAGATTCTGTTCTTCACTTTATCTCTTCTTGTTAATGCCAAAGCTGAGGCAGTAGCAGCCACAGCAACACGTACAGTCTCTATGGCAGATACAGTGACGCCCACAGTAGGCGCTACGGCAGAAGTCACAGCAGCCGCTACGGCAACAGTCGCAGACACAATGATGCAAACGGCAACAGCCATGGATACAGTCGCAGCTAGAGAGTCATCCACGTCAGAAACATGCCAAGCGGCCGTAACAGCAAGCACAGGTATGTAAAGAACCATTTCTAGCATGTGATTCCTACATTCAAACCATCCACCTGGGATTTACCCTTTCAACGTCCATCTCGACCTTCATCCTCACTTTGTCGAGTTTTCCGCTTTTCCTCTCGACAATAGCTTTGAGCTAGACAAGTCAAATATCCATGTTCTAGTTCAGGGCCATAAACAAACTGTCAGTTAGTGTTTGGGCTGCAAAGATTACAAGCACTACAAGGAAAGGACATGTAAGAGGAGGTGGTCTAAAAGTTTCATTCACACACTATGGCATGAAACGCTATCCTGACATGTTCTTCAAAATAACTGCATCGCCAGCTTCTATGCAAAGGGAATAACAACCTGAAGATGGGCCTGGCCCGAAAATTTGGATATTTATTATTTTTGGAAGAATTTGTAGCCGAGAGACCGTTTTCGAGTACTGGTGTATAACTGTGTGAAACATGAAGTGGCTACAGTGGAGTCTGCACACCCTTAGGAATAACAACCTCATTCAAGAATAGAGTCTACAACCATTGGGTTAACCTTTTGTGCACAAGCAAGCCCTGAACTATTCCCGGCTATTCTCTAACCTGTAACTTTAACATTATAACTACATATGTCACAATCTTTCATACCTATCAAATTTTTGTTCTTCACTTTATCTCTTCCTGTTAATGCCAAAGCTGAGGAAGCAGCAGCCACAGCAACACCTACGGTCTCTGTGGTAGATACAGTAACGCCCACAGTAGCCGCTACGGCTGAAGTCACAGCAGCCACTACAGCAGCAGTCGCAGACAGAATGATGCAATTGGCAACAGCCATGGACACAGTCGCAATTAGAGAGTCATCCACATCAGAAACATGCCAAGTGGCTGTAACAGGAAGCACGGGTATGTGAAGAACCATTTCTAGCATGTGATTACCACATCCAAACCCTACAAAGCCTTTACCATTCACCTCTCCCTTCACACGCACCTTTTCATTATTTTCAGCTTTTCATTTCCACATCTGGTAATCTCTAGCTGTTGACCTTATCGTAAAACGAGTTTCAACGGTAGATTGACAGCCGCAACATCAACTTGTGAAATGCTAAAAGGTAGAGAAGTGCTAGCTCCATGTTATATTTTAGGGCCATCTACATAATATTATTTTTCAGTGCCAGGCCAGATGTACGCTGTTGGCCGGGCCATTTTCATAAAAAATCTGATTTTTTCAAAATCAGTCGTATCAGCTCAAACCCACTTGTTGTCCCTCGCTGGCGTAGGTTGTGCTGCTGCGCCCTGCTCAAACTCGACATCGACATCTCCGATATCCTCAGGGCCGTCCAAGGCGACCACGGCAGTAGGTTCGACATCGACCAGTCCACGGCGGACTCGTCCGCGAAATTTGTTCCGTCACGATCGCGGACGGCTATGTCCGCATCCGAGTCATCGCCTTCACTATCGCAGCTCCAGTCATCAATGTCCGAGTGCATGATGGACTAGAGCACCTCTTCAGCCGACATGCGGCGACTCGCCGTGTCTGAGTGACAGCTAGAGCTAGAGGGACCTAAAGTACGTTCGGTCAATCTAATTGTTTCTTAGGGGTCGTACGTAATTATCGAAAAATTTAAAAATCCGTCCTCGTGCGAAATTGTCTCTGACCCACCCACCCACCTCCCATTTTTTCCCCTTAATTTTTTGATTTTTACCGATGCCCAGCTCGAAAATAAGAACTCCTAAATCCTGACCCCATGTTCACTGATTGCACCCACATGTACATGTACATGTATGTCAAGTACTAGTAGCTAAGTAAAGTGAGTAGGTCTACCGACGGCCATGCACGTCCTACAACTATAAAAGAGTTATGTACCGGTATATCATACTGGTGTTTGCGATCCTACACTACGTCTACAGTGCACTACATGTCAGTACAACAAGTGTATGAAAGTCACTGACGAAAATAAATAAATAAAGTACGAAAAATCGAAAAAATTAAATTCCGCCAGCGCTCTTGACCACCCACCCCCTTTCTGCCTGAGGACGGATTTTTTAATTTTTCGAAAAATACAGACGACCCCTTAGTCGAAATAATTATGTTTTTCGCCCGAGCGCTCTGAATGTATGCTCCCGCGCCCTTACTCACTCAACCACGGCGAGTGAGGTCTTATTCAGTAGGGGAAAACCCCTAGTTTCCCCTCGAAGAGCCCCAATCGGCCAAGCTAGATTGTAGTGCATGGCCGGTGAGATATAGTAGTGCGCACTACGAGGACGAGATATCTCGTCCTTGGCCAATCGCGTGGGGGTCTGTAGGACGAGTTATCTCGTCTTTGGCACTGAAAGGGTTAAACTGTCAGTTACTGATTGGATAACGAAGATTACAAGCACTACAAGGAAAGGACATGTTAGAGATGGTGGTCTGAAAGTTTCATTCGCACACGATAACGTGCAATGTTATCCTGACATGTTCTTCAAAATAACTGCATGGTCAGCTTCACTGCAAAGGGAATTACAACCTCATTCAAGAATAGAGTCTACAACCATTGGTGTAACGTTTTGGGCACAAGCAAGCCCTGAAATGTTTCCTGCCATTCTCTAACTTGTAGTTTTAACATTACAGTAAAACCTGGTTTAAACAACCACCCCACGGTGAAAGCAAAAGTGGTCGTTAAAACCAGGTGGTCTTTAGAACCAGGTCCCACAGTGTCTGTGTAGAACTGTCGGTGCATGGAAAAACAGTCGTTGAGAGCAGGTGGTCGCTAAACCCAGAGGTCGCTTACACCAGGTATTACTGTATAACTACATATGTCACGATCTTTCATACCTATCAGATTTTTGTTCTTCACTTTATCTCTTCCTGTTTATGCCAAAGCTGAGGCAGCAGCAGCAGCAGCCACAGCAACACCTACAGTCTCTGTGGCAGACACGGTGTCGCCCACAGAAACCGCTGCGGCGGACGTCACAGCAGCCGCTACAGCAACAGTCCCAGACAGAATGACGCAAACGGCAACAGCCATGGACACAGTCGCAGCTAGAGAGCCATCCACATCAGAAACATGCCAAGCGGCCGTAACAGGAAGCACAGGTATGTGAAGAACCATTTCTAGCATGTGATTACCACATCCAAATTCGCCACCTGGGCTTTACCCCTTTACAATCCATCTCGACCTTCATTATCACTTTCTCGAGCTTTCCCCCTTTCCTCTCGACAGTCGCTTCGCACCAGCAGTTGACCTGTTCTTTAAAATGGGTTCCATCTTATTTATTGCCATCTGCCAAATGAACTTGTGCAATGGTAAAAGATAGAGGAGTGCAATCTCCATGTTCTAATTTAGGGGCAATCTTTACTGATTGCACTACAAAGATTACAAGCACTACAATGAAAGGACATGTTAGAGACGGTGGTCTGAAAGTTTCATCCGCACACTATGGTATGAAACGCTGTCCTGACATGTTCTTCAAAATAACTGCATGGTCAGCATAAAATACCGTAAAGTACCGTTGATCCGCCCCCACGCCATGTCGCTTCCCAGCTGGGTTTTCGGCAGGGGGCGGGAATTAGATCAAGGCTGTCAAGTGCAGTACGATGTACAACAACGTAGAGGATCAGACTCAATGTGCTGAATTGTGCACATTTTGATCCTGGATTGGCAAGTATTGTGTACAGCAGTGCATGCGTCGGTTCAACATCGTATTTCGTTGTATACGCCAAAGTCGCTTCACAAGGAGAAAATCGACAGGGGGCGGGAATTAGAGTGGGGGCGGATCAACGGTACTTTACGGTATATGCAAAGGGATTAACAACTTCATTTTTTAAAGAATAGAGTTTACAGCCACAGGGCTAACCTTTTGGGCACAACCAAGCCCTGAATTGCACCCTGCCTCTCTAACCTGTAACTTTAACATTATAACTACATAATGTCACAATTTGTCATACCTATCAGATTCTGTTCTTCACTTTATCTCTTCCTGTTAATGCCAAAGCTGAGGCAGCAGCAGCCACAGCAACGCGTACAGTCTCTATGGCAGATACAGTGACGCCCACAGTAGCCGCTATGGCAGAAGTCACAGCAGCCGCTACGGCAACAGTAGCAGACACAATGATGCAAACGACAACAGCCATGGATACAGTCGCAGCTAGAGAGTCATCCACGTCAGAAACATACCAAACGGCCGTAACAGCAAGCACAGGTATGTAAAGAACTATTTCTAGCATGTGATTCCTACATTCAAACCATCCACCTGGGATTTACCCTTTCAACGTCCATCTCGACCTTCATCCTCACTTTGTCGAGTTTTCCGCTTTTCCTCTCGACAATAGCTTTGAGCTAGACGAGTCAAATATCCATGTTCTAGTTTAGGGCCATCTACAAACTGTCAGTTAGTGTTTGGGCTGCAAAGATTACAAGCACTTCAAGGAAAGGACATGTAAGAGGCGGTGGTCTAAAAGTGTCATTCGCACACTATGGCATGAAACGCTATCCTGACATGTTCTTCAAAATAACTGCATCGCCAGCTTCTATGCAAAGGGAATAACAATCTCATTCAAGAATAGAGTCTACAGCCATTGGGTTAACCTTCTTAGCACAAGCAAGCCCTGAACTATTCCCGGCTATTCTCTAACCTGTAACTTTAACATTATAACTACATATGTCACAATCTTTCATACCGTACTTCCGCACATATAAGCGCACGGGCTTATGTCCGGATATAAGCCCACCCCCCAACTATAAGCGCATGGGCTTATATGTGAACACAATTAATAAAACACCCAGGAGTTCATTGTGGTAGCACAATGGCATAGAACACAGGAAATGCTTTATTTCCACTGAATAGAACATAGCGTAAAACATGTCAACTTGCACATCATCATGAACACTGCCACAAGTCAAAACCAATCAAAGTTGTCACCACCAGACTCCTCGCTGTCTTCAGCGGAATGGGCACTGCCAGACTCGAACTCCTCACCACCAGACTCGTCGCTGCCAACAGGTTCATTGTGGTCAGACTCTCCACCACTCAGCAGCACTAGTTCATCTCCGCTCATGCTGCTGTTGTCGCTGCTGCTGCCGGTGTCTGTTTCACTGTCATCGGCGGATACGTCGTCAGGGAGTTTGCCATCACGCACTAACTGCTGCAGTGCCGAATGCAGGTCATCCACACCACCATTGACGGAAATGCCGCACTTGACAAATGACGCTGCGATCATTTCCTGGGGTATCTCATCCCAGGCCTTTACCACCCATGTCGCGACGGTGTCATACCGAGCACGTTTCCTCTTCCCTGATCTGGTGAACTCCTCCTGTCCCTTCTCCAGCCACTCATCCCACTGCTGGCGCACGTTTGACTTCAAAGAGCGATTCCATGACACATCACACGGCTGAAGAACACATGTCATGCCACCCGGAATGAGCTCAGTGGACGTATTGTGACGAGTCTTCAGGTCACCCACAGTCGACTCATGAGAGTGACTGCGGTGGCGGTCCATGACAAGGACTGCTAGTGTTCGGAAGATAGAGCCAGGCCTGCTCTGCCACACGTTCCGCATCCATAACTTCATGAGGTCCGTAGTCATGCAGCCCCCCTTCGACACTGCGACAAAACAATCACGGGGGAAATCTCCCCTCGGCACATTTTTGAGACCCTTGAAGGTTAACATCGGTTTGAGTTTCCTTCCGCTTGCAAGTGCAGTGAGCACAACCGTAAAGTGAAGTGTTTCCTACCCAGTTGTCTTGGACTTGACGGTTTTCACACCTTCGAAATCGTAGGTCTCATTGGACGGCATATCGAACCAAAATGGACTTTCGTCCATGTTACCAATGCAATTGGTGGCGATGTTACCTGTGCTGATTGCATTGCTGACGTCTTTGATGAAGGTCTTTGCACTCGTTGGCGCGTTCGATGGCATTAGCTGACCAAATGATGTGACGCGACGGGAGACGAGCTTGTGACGACGGAGAAATTGTGACAACCACCCTGAAGAAGCACTGAAAGGACGCTGGTCCTCGCCGTACAGATCACGAAATATTTTTTTTCGCTTCAGTTCGGATAGCTTTCACATGCACTGCCAGCGACGATTCGCGCTTCTCCCTTACCCAAGACGCCAGCAAGTCTTCCATGTCGGGAAAGTGGCAGGCGTTCTCAGCACGCGGAATCCTCCTCCGTTTCCTGCCAGTATTGCCATGCTTTTTCGCACGACGATTCTCATGGCGAATACTGTCTTCCTGCTTCACCCAACGTTCTATCACACGGCGAGAAATCGAAAATTCACGCGACGTTGCAGAGCAATTTTTCTCCAGCTCATGGTAGCGCTTCAGTACCTGAAGCTTCTTTTCCAGGGAATACGACTTTCTGGACGGCATGGCCGTCAAGCAAATGAAAACTGCAACTTTCAAACCCCTAGGCCCTGCCCACCCAATTCTTCTTCACTCTTTCTCCTTTCTTACACTATTATCTCTTATTGGCCACTGGCTATCGTGAGAATAAAGATTTGAAACAACAACAACAACAAGTACATACACACCACAAACAGCTAAGGTCTGGTTTAGTACCTAGTAGTGACTCACTACCTACACAAATGGATGTTGGACTGCCCGAACTTTGGAGAAACTTGGGGATCGTTTGCAAATCGATGTCTTGTTGTTGTTTCTTTTTTTAATGTTTGTGTTCGACTATAGACAATCCGTTTTTCACTGGCGCTTTCACTAGTCGCATCCTTCTGAAGTTATGCGAAATACCCTGTGCAATGTTTCGCAGGAGTGTTCAGAAGCAGGGTCTACTGCACAGTATGGCAGAAATCCACCATGAATTGATGCGCATAGAAAAGTACGAGCCAGTAGAAAACCATCATATCAAGGTCATCGAATACATATGTCCTGGAGGAATGGATACCTACGAAAAGCTCTGTGCAGCCATCAAAGACCTGAAGTATGAAATTTTGTACACAGACATGATTGCACTGCTTCCTGCTGACCGTCAGCCTCTAGATGGTAAGTGTGAAATTGTGTGCAGCTGTTTTGTGCGTGTGTGTGTGTGTGTGTGTGTGTGTGAGAGAGAGAGAGAGAGAGCATGTGTGTGAGCTAGTGAGTGTCTGTCTGTCTGTGTCTGTTGTGTGTTGTGTGTTGTGTGTTGTATGTTGTTGTGTGTGTTGTATGCATCGGAAATTTCCCAAAAATTGTCTTGCCATACAAAATTCAATGTACGGGGCGAACCCTCGACTTCACAACAGACAAATGTGCCTTTACGAACCTTCCAGTAGTGACTATCCACTACATTTTTCGTTGAATGACATCAAAAAGCCCGAGGGGAAATAGGGATTTTTGGGTGAACAGGGCACATTATAGTGCTCTTTTATTGCTTGTGTTTTTATGAATTGGGCGCAGCGTGCGGGGCGAAAAGTGGTACAAGCATGGTGGTACCGTGGGTGACAACCCTGGACTCTAAAACCCAGTGCCTCAACTGTAGCAACACCATAACAGGTGTCTCCTGTCTGCCAATATTCTGGTGATGGAGTGGTTATTCTGCGTGAAGCAATGACTTTCAGACACACCGTAACATTGCGAGTCAAGCGGGCTTTCTCATAATACGAGTGCATGCAGTGAAGATGCACTCTTGCTTGTTTTGCATTCCTGTTGCCTGTACTGTATGATTTCTTGCTAGTAATACAAAAGAAACAACAAACTGAAAATGTCACCTGCAGTTACCATACTAACGCACATATAAGCACATGAGCTTATAAGTGAATTTTTGCTACGAATCCAATTTCCGAAAATGAAATATTTTCACCTGAACGCGCATGCTCGATCAGAGTTCGTTTGCCAGAGTCTTTGTGTTTGACTAGGTCTTGTAGTGCCAGTTTCATGGTTCCTGTATGCTGTTTGCAGATCTTTATCTGTGATTGTGTCAAAGTGAGAATTTTGGTAGTACTTCGCCTATAGGAGCATGCGCTTATAAGTGAGAGTGCGCTTATATCCGGATCCATGCATTCCTACGGTGTACTATTTATGTGTATACAAATTACGTTTCATAAAGTAGCCATGCTACACTGGCACATGCGCTTATATGTGCGTTACTACGGTACACAACATGTTTTGATGTGTGCTGTGCTTATCGTTGTGCCCAGGAGATACTGCTGTTCTGCCAAGTATCAGTGAACTCGAAGCAGCAGAGCAGGAGGCAGCCCGGTCGGGAGGTACGACCGTCATCCATTTCCTGCACGTGGCAATACTTGGTGCGGCACGCGTTGGAAAGACCAGCTTGCTGAAGGCGTTGCTTGAGAAGATGCACAATGAGAATGAACTCAGCACGCCCGGCATGCGCACGTCCTACGCAACTACAAACATCTCTGCTGACTGTCGATTCATAGAATGCCCAGACATGCCAGATGCTCTGAGTCTACTCCACGTCATCACCATGATGTGCGAACTATCCACTTCGAATCATCCCCAAGACAAAGAGACAACTCAAGATGACAGAGAGAGAGCCACTGCAGGAGAGGATCCTGTGGCTGGGACCCATGCAGGACCTATGGAAGACAGCAGTAGCAGCAGCAGCAGCGACGGGCCAGTAATGCGCGAGGAAATCCACAAGACCATCACAGGATTTCTCAACGCAGACCGGGTAAAGTACATTTCTGACCGGGCCAACACGCCCGACTATACCGTCATCACATTCCGCGACCTTGGAGGGCAGCAAGTCTACCAATCCGTGCAGCCCCTCTTCATGGCCAAAAACACAACCTTTATTGCCACATACAACTCTTCTCTGGACCTTCTAGAGACCCTTCCCAAGCGCGAAAAATTTCAGTTCAGCCAGGAAGAATGTATCGAGCGGGCCACTCTACCGGCCAATGCGACTCGCCTAGACCAGCTGCTAAGCTGGCTCGACATGCTGCTGCTGAATGCGAAAGCTGACAGCAGCACAGACCAGAGTGCTGCAGATGATGTGTTTGTAGTGGGGTGTCAGAGTGACATGTGGAAGAAAACCGATTTGCCTGATCCTTGTAAACTACTTCGAAAGAATATCGAAGGTTCGCCGTATAAGTACCTTGCCTGGAACGAAACATCGTACTTCAAAATCGACAGCACCAGATCCACTGGAAGTGCAGCACAAGCAGATGAGCTGCAGCGATTGAGAGAGGCCATCATCGACCGCTGCCGGAAGAGCCAACGTAACATCCCTGTTCCATGGCTCCGATTCT